GGCCACTGGTGATGGGTAGTAAAATGCCTGCCACCAGCTACTGCTTGTACTGCCAGTTGCATTGCCTATCAGCAGCAAGTTTCTGGGACTGGCTGCCAGAACCCCAAGGGAAGGGACTCTGGTATTCAAACCCAGCCAGCACTGGGGAGCAGCAAAAGCCAGGCCCATTGAAATGGACCTCTGTATAACTGACTTGCAGCCTCCCACTGCAAGACAGCCTAACCTGATGAGTCTTAGGAGCTCCTGCACTTAAACCTGGCTTGCACCAAGGGAGGGGCTGCCCACAGGCAACATGCTCTGGTGGTAGGTGGGAAGAATGGCACATTGGCTGCTGTACATGCTGGGGCAGCCAAGTGGGAAACCACCGCTGCCTCTCAGCCTTCAGGGGCCATTGCTCAGGTGTAGGGCTGAGCCAAAGAAAAGCTGGCCATGCCCCACAGCTTGTGCTGCAGGACTCCAGTTTCACTCTTCCTGGTGTCAATACATTCTTTTATTCTGGAAATTCTTCTTTGGAAAAATTAATTTTGATCATTTCTTCCATTTTTCTCTCTTTTAGAATTCTTATTAGATATTTTACTTCATATATGAATTTGTTTTGTTAATGTTATCTGCATTATAATCTGTCTCTTTAATCACTCCTCTTCACTGCACAATCTGAATTTTATCAATACAGTTCCTTATTGGATTTTGCTTATTCAATCCATCTATTGAATTTGAAAAATTCTATATGTTTTTATTTTTCTAGGCTATTTCTTGTTCTCTGATGGTTACTTAAAGTTAATAACTTCCTGTTCTTTTATTATATATGCAGTGTCTTCCCTTTTTCCACCAAGGAACATGAAGAAATAGCTGGATGATTTCTTCTATTTATTTTCTTGCATCTGGGTTGGGGTTCCTTTTCTCCCATTTTGTACATTTCAGCATTTTATGTTAGAAACGTTCCTCAAATGTTTGGTGACCCAGAGGGTCTATTTGTTTTTCAGAATAAGGTGCCAAAAAGAATTGGATGGTACTATGGTAGGTTTCTGTAGAGTGATCCAGTTCTTAAGATCATTACATTATTAGAGATTACTTGTTGTTCAGGGCTATTCATTTTCTCTAAAACAGGATCTAGTGTGCTGCACGTGAGGCATGTATCTGATTCCAAGAGTTACTAGAATTAAAGAAGTTTCCTGGTTTCCACCAGTTAAGATGCAGGTTTTCATAAACTACTACTCGCCAATACTGTTATGCCTGTTGTGTCTAAGCACAGGCCTGATTTCAATTTTCCAGATTATAGTGACTTGGCAGTTTGTATATAGATTTTTTATTAATTTCTCTGTTTGAATTCCTGCCTCTTATTCCTACAACCGATTCTTCATAATTTGAGCCTCTCAAGAGTTGAGTGACACAAGTCAACATGATTCTCTTTGGTAGACATTTCATTCAAAGCATTCTCTTCTTTTCTGTTATTTCCCTGTCTGTTTTCCATCTTCCAGGAACTTATTCATATTGTTTTCTTGTCAACTTATCTCTCCTATTGTCCTCCTTTTCTTTGTGAGTTTATCTTATCAAATAATCCATTTAATTTAATTTTTGGTAAAAGGAAGAAAGCATTAAACTTCTATGTCAATGTGCCACCTGTTTTTGTATTTTAATGTATTTATTCTTGAACTTATAATCAGTTTTCTATACTTTGTGAATCACCAACCCATCCACACACATGGGAATTTATTTAGACTTGCTTTATAACTATGGTTAATTAAGAAGAATTGATATCTTTACAACACTGAGTCTTCAGTTCTAGAAATTCTCCATTTGTTCAAGTATTCACTGGAATAGTTCAGTAAATCACTGCCAAGTTCTTCATATAGAATTTGTATATTTCCTGTAACCTATTGGTAAGTATTTTATAAGTTTTACTGCTTTAGGAAACAGTACCATACTACAACTCCCCCATTACATATTATAACTGATTATGTAAAGCTGTTGATTTATGTATTTATTTTGTATATGATTACCTTGATGAATTCTTCAAGTTCTAAAAAGTGTAGTTGCTTCTATGAATTCTATTATGTAAATATATAAACATAATTTGCAAATGTCAATCTTATTTTATAACAAAACATAAAAGCTGTTTTATTAAGCTTGATGTGTTTTGTTAATATTATTTTTATTTCCCTTCAGCATTTTATATCTGAGATTTTTTTCTTCTGTTACTTCTTATATAAACAAACATTACATTAGAAGTTCCTCGTGATGGAACTCTACACATTTCATTTGAGAAGTATTCTATGAGTAAGTAAATTTGAAAATGGTATCTTAAAATACCCTGAACATACACAGTGCTAGGCACTTATCGGTATTGTTGAAGGAATTGATATATTCAGTCTTTCTAGCTATCTTCTTTTCTTTTTTTAAGATTTATTTATTTATGCATACAAGAGCTAGGGTGCAGACCAGAGGTGTGTGGGGTGAGAGGATTCAGCAGGGACAGTGGGGAACAGAACAGGCAGATCTACTAAAATACACTGCTGAGGGGAGCAGCAGGCAAGACAGGAGAGGTCAGCTGTGCCATATGGGCCACCTCCCTGGCCTGGGATCAAACTTGTGCTGCAGTGGCTGTGGATAGCTTCATAGTGCTGTGACTTAACCCCTTGCGCCACCAGGGAGGCCCCTATCTTCTTTTCTCCTGACTTAATTCTCTAAACTCAGACAGATGGGAAATATTTTCTAAAAACTCTTGTTTAAAATTTATTAATTTATTTATTTTATATATTTTTTACATCATTTTTCATTTTTTTAAATTTTTATATTCCCCATACAATTGCAACCTCAATTTTGACCCCAATCCCTCTTCCCCTCCCACCCCTGAGTATCTCTGGTTCATAGTTGTTGATTTTGATTTTTTTTCTTTCTTATAGTTATTCTTTTTCCTGGTCCATATTTAGGTTTTCTAGATTCCTGTTATGAGTGAGGCCATTTGGTATTTTTCTTTTTCTTTTTGCCTTATTTTGTTGAGCATGATCCCTTCCAACTCCATCCATGTTGCTGCAAATTGCATGTGTTTATCTTTTTTGAATGCTGAGTAATATTCCATTGTGTATATGTACCACATCTTCTGGCCAACAGGCATATGAAAAAATGTTCAATGTCACTTGCAATCAGGGAAATGCAAATCAAAACCGTAATGAGATACCATCTTATACCAGTGAGTATAGCACATATTAAAAAAACTAGCAACAACAAAATGTTGGTGAGGATATGGAGAGAAAGGAACTCTCCCGCACTGCTGGTGGGAGTGCAAACTGGTCCAACCACTATGGAAAGCTGTGTGGAGATTCCTCAGCCTACTAAAGATAGAGCTTCTATATGATCCAGCAATTCCACTCCTAGGTATTTACCCAAAGGACACAGAAACATTAATTCCAAAGAGCACCTGCACCCCTATGTTTATAGCAGCACAATTTATAATAGCTAAGCTTTGGAAACAACACAAATGCCCAAAAATTTCTAAAAACTCTTAAAGACGAATATTTTTAACTTTCTAGGAAACCATGTTAGTGTTTAACAAATCTCAATGTCAGGAAGCTTCTATACCCTAGGGCTATTTTGTGTATTTTAAGTAATTTTCTTTTATCCTTTCTTTAGTGCTGCTAGAGAACAGGTTACCATTCTATTTTTATAAATCTGAGAAAAGCACTATATGGAACTAAAATTTAGTTTAAGATTTGCTTTAAAACTCTTTCCTCCTCTATTATGAGTCTGTAATTTGAAGATAATTCTGCCATCCATCAAAAAGAGTGAGTTTATTTATAGCAGAATGTTGGAAAAAAAGTCCAATAATTTTAGAGAAAGATGATAATTATAATGATGTTTATCTCACTTTCCTCAGGCCTCTATAAATTAATGGTTTCCAGATTTGAAAATTTTTTAAAAACATCAGAGGAACTTACTACTATCTACAAGTTTTTAGTCCCCACCTCAAATATATTGACTATGAATACCAGCTAGGTGGTGCTTGGAAACTTGCAATTAAAACAAAACAAAACAAAACAAAACAATATGATCTAGAGCCTCCCTGGTGGCGCAAAGAGGTTGAGACACAACCTATGGGGCTGTCCGCAGCCACTGCAGCATGGGTTCAATCCCAGGCCACAGAGCTACCCACATGGCGCAGCAGACCTCTCTTGGCTCACCTGCTGCTTCCCTCAGCAGTGTGTTTCAGTGCATCTGCCTGTTCTGTTCCCTATGCTGTCTCTGGTGAATCTTCTCATCCCCCATACCTCTGACCTATACCCCAGTTCATGTATGCATAAATAAATCTTTAAAAAAACAAAAAACAATATGTTTCAGGTGAATGGGCATGTTTATTGTGTTAGTTCCTATTTCCTAAATACATTTAAATCATTTAAATGTGAATGTATCATTTATAATTATGTAGACATTATTTGTGAGTCAGTATATCATGATTATTTTCTTGTACAATTTTCATTTTCCTTGAAGTTAACATTATCCCATATTTTCATTTGCTTCATTTTCTATGTGTTTATGCTAATTCTTTACATTATCAGTCAACTATACACATGATCAAACCTAACATAATTTATTTCTTACTTTTTTCCCCTGGGACACTCCATTCTTCTCCAGTTTGGACTGTTTACAACTTGAAACAACATAAATATACAGTTGTCCTGAGTATGACTTTCCTGTATCAAATCTTTTGCTTCTTGGACCTCATCCTTTTACTTCTTTCTGTATGCCCTCATTTTAATGAGCATGACAGATAAAATTTTGCAATCTTATATGTCTGAAAATGTCTTTATTTAGCCCTCACAATTAATGAGTAGTGTTTTAGTCATCTTGGGTTGCCATAACAAAATACTATATACTTGGTAACTTAAACAACAGAATTAATTTTCTTACAGTTCTGGAGGTTGGAAGTCTGAGATGGGAGGCTGGGGGGACAAGAATGCTCTGTTGAGAGTTTCCTTCTAAACTTCCAACTGATTACCTTCTAGCTATGTCTTCATGGTGGAAGAAATACAGAGCAAGTTCCCTTGTGTCTCTTCTTATAAAGGCACTAATCTTATAATGAAGACCCCAACCTGATAACCTCATCTAATGGTAAGTATCTCTCAAAGGCCCTCTCAAATATCATTACAATGGGGATTGTGTTCCAACAGAAATTTAGGGTGACACAATTTAGTTAATAAATAGTATAACTGATTATAGAAATAAGACAGAAAATTAAATTCTCTCAGAATTTTGAAGACATTGTCTTGTTGTCTTTAATTACAATAATATTGAGAAATATCACATGACCTGTGTTTCACTATGTAAGCTATTAGGATCTCCCCTATATTCCTAGTATTACAGTGTTTTTGGGTTTGGATCATTTTTCGTACTTTGTGCTAGGCAGTAAGGGACAACTTATGAAACTGAAGATTTGTATCATTCAATTCGGGGAAGAATTTTCCTTGTTTTCCCTGCATTCATTCATTCATTCATTCAATTTTGTTTTCTCTTTCTGAACTTCCAATTAGTTGGGAGTTTGAGCTTCTTCTTCTTTTTCTTTTTAACAATTATTTTCCATCATTGATTTTTTTGGTCAGCTTTTCTCAACTGTACCTTTTCATGTTTGTACTGAATTTTTATTTCGAAGGTTATGCTTTGAGCATATTTATAATTTCTTAAAGCTATTTTTCTTCTTGTATGGTGGTTTAAACTATCTGTACAAATTCTTTGATACTCCCATCTAAGTGGAACTTAATAGCCTTCTCCTTGAATTTGGGCTAGATTTAGTACAACTTGTTTCTAATGAATAGGAAAAAAGTACAACTTTGTATACTAGATCATAAAAGATACTATGGCTTTCTGATTGCTTTCTCTCTGATTGCTTGCTCTGGTGGAAGCCTGTTGCCAGGCTGTAAGAAAGCACAATGGTGTTATGGAGTGATCCATGTTGTAAGAGACTTGGGTCTCCTGCCAACAGCTATATTAATGAGCCATCTTGACTGCAGCCTCAGTCAAGTCTTCAGTAAACTGGGGCCCTAGTTGACAGCTTGACTGCAATCTCATGAGCGATCTTGAGCCAGAACCATCTAGCTAATTTACTCCTAGATTCTTGACAGACAGAAACCATATGAAATAGTAAATGTTTGTTGTAAGCTTCTAAGTTTGGGGTTAATCTGCTTTACAGCAATATATAACTAACCTATCTTCCTTGTGAATGTTCCTTTTCATAGCATTCTGTTCTTTTTTTTCATAGATGCTCTAATTTCTGTTATTTCACAGGACATTAATAATCTTTATTTAAGTTTTCTTCACTGCTTTGTCTCTAATTCCATTAAGTTTCTATTTTTTTAATTTAATATAGTCAACAAAATAGTAAAGAGATGGGAGGGTATAGAGGTTCTGAGAGAGGGGGCAGGGGAAAGAAATGAGACATGTCTGCTAGAGGAATCAAGAAATTTAGAGTGGCAGGAAAAGATTAAATATCATAAAAAGAAAAAGATCTATGAATATATTCCAGATATTTATTTGTCCATTCATAAATCATAGAAAGCATTCAATGTATAAAGTCCATCAATCTGATCAAATCAAATTTATTTTTAAGCAGTTTTTTTTTAAAGATTTTATTAACTTTTTTTTGTAGAAGAACTGGGGTGTAGGCCAGAGGTGTGGGGGTGTGGTGGGGTGGGCAGTGTATGTGAGAGGATTCACCAAAGACAGAGTAGGGAGCAGAACAGGCAGGTCTACTGAAAAACATTGCTAAGGGGAGCAGCCAGGAAAATGAGAAAGGTCTATTGTACTCTATAGGTTAGCTCCCTGGTAGGGGATTTGAACTCAGGCAGTAAAGGTGGTAGCGCTGAGATTTAATCCCTAGGGCACTAGGCAGGCCCCTACATCAAATTTCTTAATGCATTCCATCTTTGGCAAAGATTTCTAATATGGTATAAATTAGAAGTACTTAATAGTAATTTCACATTATTTTATTTTTGCATTCTCCTGTTTCCAATGCAGTATGATGTATAAATCAAGATGGTAAAAGGCTGTGCTAAGGAAATGTATACAGTTTGTATAACAAGTGGATTTAGTATTGAATTAGTCTGACAGATGAAGCTAAAGGTAAATGGAATTTTTGTGGTCAGGCTTTATCACCTACTGTCTGTGACTTTTAGAAGTTTCTTAAATTTTAGGAGCCTCTTTTAAAATGGGAATCTAAATAATATTGTTATAAAGATTTAATGAGATAAAGTGCTTAGAATAGTGCCTAGCATAGTATTGATGTTATTTTCCTCTTTTCCTTCTACTTCCCTTTCTTTTCCTATTGTGATTCTTTTTCTCCTTTTCTGCATCTCCTCCTATACCACCTCATATTTTGCCTTACTTTAGTATTGCATAACAATGCATTATCATAAACCTTGAATAAGTCTTGTGGGACTTCTTAAGTCTTATCCAGATGTTACCATACCAGATTATCAGATAATGGAATATTGACATTTGTCAAGTCAAAATCATGCCTCTAATATAGAATTCTGATTTTTTATTACCCATCTAAATCACTCATCAAGATTTTATAGAATGTCTACTCTGAGAGAAAATGAGCTAGGTAGTGGCTATACAAATGTGTGGCATACTGCTCAGTCCAGTGGAGAAGAAAATCAGATATATCACACAACTACCCATTATTAAGAGCATTCACATAATGCTATGGGAAATAGAGGAGGGATTTCCAAGATTTCCAATATGTTTACATTCTTTTTTGACACTCAAGCCTTAGCAAAAGAGGAAACACTTGAAAGTAGTGTGCGTGTGTGTGTGTGCACATGCGCGCATACACACACACACATGCATGTGTGCATATAGGGAGTTGGAACATAATTACAGATATAGAAATAGCATTCAAAGCTATGGAAGTATAAAAATATGAGAGTGCATGTTATGATTGGAAACAAGCAAATTAGCTGAGTGTAAAAATCTGAAGACATAAGTATAAAAGTTGTATTTTAAATTAGGGTCTTCAAAGACTGAAGTATAATTCTCGCCAGTACAAGAGCAACAAATTAATTCCTCATGTGGTATCTGAGGTTTATAAAATCAGCATAGAGGAAGTGCTTCCATAGCACTTTGTAATAGTCTAAATATTTGTTCAATAATTTGTCAACGTTTGATAAATAAGGAATAAATAAGGTTTAGCTAAGCAAATAGCAGGGGAAATCTTGAAGAATGTTCAGGAGTTCCAGGAGTCGGCCAGGCTAAAGTTTTTTTTTTCCCCTAAAATAATAGCATTATCTCTCTATTCACTTCAGTGCTTCAATATTTTTGTAATACTCAAATTTTTTTTTTATTTGGTCCTCGTAGTACTTTGCTTCCACATAATACCAAAAAGTTGATGTTGTAATGCTCTTTTTTAATTAACATGATATTCTGAATAGTATTTTTGAACATGATATTTTTGAATAGTGCTGCCCTTCATGATTAATTTTAAAATTTAAATCAGTTAATATTTGATAAAAAGTGGAAATTATGATTATGATGTACTATTTAATAATGTATAGAGTGATTTTAAGACTAGAATTTATGTATTAAAGTGAAAATGTGGTATAAAATTCAAGAAAAGGGAGCAAATTGAACTCTAAGTGGTACAATGCAATGGAGTGCAATTTGGAACACTCTCTCTCCTGGGTTCCTGTACTCCAGCTGCTCAAAGTTCATAAATGTTTTCCTGATGATGATTTTAAAGTTTAGAAATGAGTAGATCACCTCATTGGTGATAATTTAAAAAGTCCTCAGAAAATTTAAAAAGTCCTCAGAAAATTAAAGTCAGACAATAACATTTAATATATTCACTGACTATATTTGTCCTGCCTCTCATAATGTCCTTTTCTCTTTACCCCCTCCCCTTTTTATATTCTGCAAAAAGCAAAACACTGCTTTGTTTTTTTATTTCACTTTTAGAAAACTTGTGGCTTTGAAAGAAATGTTGACTGGGTAGGTCTACCATTGACGTTTTCACTAGACTTCAAGGTAAATGTCAAATCAAGCTGTTTTGAAATTAGTACTTGCTGGGATGGAAGTGACTCCGGAAGAAGGACTTCCTGTCCTTCCAGGACTAGAGCCCCTCAGTGTTTCCTCTAGAGGACCAAATTAGAATTGGAATGGTTTATTAGAATATTTCATCTTTCCTCTTTTTCCTAATTCTCCATCCAGTTGTTTAGTAACACCAGGAAGTTCTACACAGAAGGAATTCTGTGCTGGTGACACAGACCTGAACTTTCATACCTGCCCCTGTTGTGAGTGGTGGCATGACAGTCATCAAGATACTCAGGCCACTTTGGGCCTCTCTTTCTTCCTTTATAAATTAAAGCATTGAGTTTAGATAGGTTTCTTTTGTCCTTTCTATCTCTAAGATGCACTGATTTTTCTTTCTATTTACTTTGCTAAGCTTTATTTATTCTCCAGATTTGAAAGGAATGCAAGCTTTGGTCAGAATACGATTTCTGAAGAGGGAGGTAAATAATAGTGAAAAAGTTGTTGGAGAAATAAGGGAGGTCGACTGGTTGTCATTCTTCTTCTTTAGTTTCAACCACTAAAAGGTAGTGGCATAGTTTTAGACATAGCCCTCATCTTCTAACAACTTGAAAGGCTGGATAGATCTCTCCTAAAAGAGGTAATTAGCATTACTCCAATCATTGTAGTGGGAATCAACAGTAAGATGCAGCAGTTAATCAAAAAATATAGAATATACTCAGATGCTAGGGTATGTGTGGTAGAAAATTAACCTCAAAATCTTAGTAGCTTAACAGTTCAATGTCTGTTTCTCACTTGTCCTGAGGACTGTGGGAGCTCTGACTCTCTACGGCAGCTCTGCTCTGAAGGAATTGAGGGAAACAGGCTGCTTTCATAGCATGACTGTTGTCTCAAAACAACTTGGCCAAATGACATATATTATTTTCCTTCCCAGCCCCAAACTAGCCACATGGACTTGTCTAATTGCACGTGGATGTTTGGTGAACAATATATTGTTATGGAAGTGCAAAATATCTTGAACCTTAATATAACTTGTGGGGATAAATTTGCAAGGAACTACATAAAACAAATCATATTTTAGTGGTTTTTAAATGCTAACCAAATTATAAAGAAAGAATCCCTACAAATTTCAAACTAAAACAGACCACTATTTAAATAAAAATGAAATAACTGGAGATGCCTTTAAAACCAATATTAGAGTTAAAGAATGTTATAATACAATATTACATGTAATAAAAAATATGAAAATATTTAAAATCAGCTTAAAAATTCTCGTGGAGATATGGAAACGCCTGTATGACCCAAAACATATGAATGTATTGAGAAGATATGGTGTGTGTACACACACACACACACACACACACACACACACACACACACACAATGGACTACTATTCAGCTATCAAGAAAAATAAACTTTTGCACCAATATGGATGCAGCCATAAGGAAGTGAAATCAGCTGGAAGGAGAAAGACAAATACTGGATGACAAATACTGAAAGACAAATACTTATGTGTGGAATGAAACAAAGGTTCAGATAAAGCTAAAATAAAAGGGCCTCCCCTGGTGGTGCAGCGGTTGAGCGCTGGGCTGTGAAGCTGCCACAGCCTCTGCAGCGCTGGTTCAATCCCCCGCTGCCAGCAAGGGTCCCACATGGCGCGCAGACCTCTCCTGCTGCCTGCTGCTCCCCTCAGCAGTGTATTTCATCCATCTGCCTGCTCTGCTCTCCACTCTGACTCTGGTGAATTCTCTCACCCTCCCGCGCTTCTGACTGTACCAGTGCTTATATAAATAAATAAATAAATAAATCTTATAAAAAAAAAAATAAAGCTAAAATAAAAAATGAACCCTTGAAACCTGACTATGGAATGGGAACATCTAGAGAGGGAGAAGGAAGGAGGTAGGGAGGGAAGGGATGAGAACAAAGGGTCTGTGGTGGTGGACTATGGGTTTCTCTGGTGGTGGGTGCACTTTGGCAACAATGACTGAAGGGGGGGATCCTACACTTCTAAAATGTAAACAATGATGTAAACCAATGTTAACCCCAAAAACATTTCAAAAAGAAGTCTTGTGGAAAATAAGGTTACTGAAAAAGGAGAAATTTTGACAAAAATTTGGCACTGTGGACATGGCCAACATACTTTTTGCATCAAAAACTGCTACCCAAACTGAAACAATTGACCTTTTTGTATTATACCACTGAAGGACACATTTTTACATGCTCAACTGTGTATTCAAACAAAAATAACATATTAAAGATGAATATTGATCTAGTTTTTCATTGGGTTTTTATTTGAAAAATCATTTATTTGCAAAGTGCAAACAATTATTTTAACAATATGTGTGAGTATTTAGAGGACAGTAGCAACAAAAAATAATAAATGGGGTGAGATATATCACATGAACTATTTGAAGTTTAAATTTAATTTACATGTGTTAAATTTGCAGCTTTGAAGGCAAAATCTCAATTTCTTCATTGAAATTGTATTTTAACAAATAATACAAGATTGAAAAATATATTGACCTATTTTATGTCACTAGTGATTTTTTTCTACAAAATATCTGACCTTAGCCTGAAATTTCCTTCTTGCCCCTCTCTTTTTGTAGTTGCATTCTGAGTGCTTCCTCTTCATGATTTCCTTTTATAGCTTATAGTATAGTAAAAAACAAATGAACAAGCAAACCTCTTGTTATTTCTATCCACATATTTATGGGGGTCCGGATTCTCTAAGATATTGTTATCTCAAGAGAGAAGAGAAAATTAATAAGAAATTGAAATATGTTTTGAGGTACCATACAATTTTGAATAATTGATTTATTTGCTGCTATAGCATTTTGTCCATTTATCCCAAAACACGCTGTTCCTCCTTTCCCCTGGAATACTAATTTGAAAAATTGTTTCTATATTCAAGCATGTTATAAAGTAGAATGCAAAAGTTCTAGCAGCTTAATTCTGGAGGTGCCCTTTGCATTGGCCATGATAGTCATTTCTGGATTGTTGTTTGAAGACTTTTCCTGCCTGACCCTGCTTCATTCCCTTTAACTTTCATAGACGTCAATTTCCAATAAATCTCTTACACTCCTAATGCCTTCTTAGTTTCTTCTTACTCAAGGCTTTGAAGTGATGCAGTGAGGCATCAGCAGTGATGATTGTGGACTGGATCATTCACCATTTGGCTGCAATGACAGCCCCATCCCGGTGGCATGTGAGGCAAAGATAATTTCTAACATAAGATGACAGCCAACTTGCTAGCACTTGACCAGTGGTGATTTAGGAAAATGCTCTGGTAGAGAACACCTAGGCTGCCTCTTTTCTGAATTCAGACTTTGGTGGTATGTGGACAATATATGTGGGGACAGGAAATTGGCTGATTATATCATTAAGTGGTACTGATCCCCTACAGAGATAGAGTAAAATGCTGAGGGAATTTAACACTTACAAAGCAAATGTGAAAGTCACAGGGTCTCCTTTTAAGTAAAAAAGGCTTTATCTCCTGAAATGAGAGAAGAGACATTTAGGGCTTAATATTTTGAGTCATATTTAGGACTAAGTATTTTGAGTCACCAGTCTTCATAAACAATTGACTCATCTAAGACAGGATTGTTATGCCAATGTCAGTGTTCTGGTTGGGAATCTTGGGGATTATTTTTAAAGGTAATGAAGATATTTTAGAATTAGTGACAATAGTTATACAATATTGTGAATGTGCTATTAGTCACTGTATGGTACATGTCAAACTGATGAATTTTTTACTGTTTGATTTTTATCTCTTTTTTTAATCTGAGTTAGTTTTCAGATCCAGAACCCAGAGACTGAATGGGTGGCCAGATTCCCAAGAGATAGGACCCTAAGATGCCATAACATGTGCATGCAAGGATGGTAGCTTCAGTCCTTACCCAAAGGGACCTATGGCCATTTACTCAGGTAACTTTCCAGACACGTTGACGACTTTCAGACTTAGGAAACAAGTTGACATCGATAACCAGAAACCAGAAACATCGTCATAACCCTTGCCCCACTATTGGTTTCTTTGGCTGCCATAAAAATATACCAAAGACTGGGTGACTTGAACTATTAAACTACAAAAATTTATTTCTTACAATTCTAAAGACTGGAAGTCCACAATTAAAGTGGTATTCACTTCTCTAGCTCTGCTCCAGATTTGACTGTTCCCTCCAGATACTTACCCTTCATATCCCTCCCTGTAGAAACTGATGTCTCAAAGATCCTGTCCATCCACTATCTTTTGAAAAATAAAAGTTTTAATTTTACTTAAAATTGTGTTCCATTGATAATTGACTAAACATCATTATACATGTTTATTGAGCATTTTACTTCCAGTTCTTTTCATTACTTTTGCCTATTTTTCTATTGGGTTTTGTTCTTAAATAATTAATTTGTCCTCATGTAGTTAATTCACAAATACATATTTTACTGTATATATACTTATGAATTATACATATGCTTGTGTATGTATGTGTATATACCTATACGTATACGTATACGTATTTATACCTATATCTATAGATCTGATTATACTAATCTACTTTGTTGATTACATATATTTCAAGTAATTTTTTGAGTTAATGGCTTATCTTTTTATTATTCTTTCCTGTTATCTTTATTTCATAGAACTTTAGCTGTGTGGGGCTTTGTTTTCACAATATCACATACCCTTTGTACACAAATTATGTATTAAAACATGTAAATTAACTTAATAAAGTAAATCTTTAGGGTAATGTTAAAAGTGGAAACTTTCAGACATTATGTATGTTTGGTAAAACTAATAGTTTGGGAAAACTACAAACAAAAATGTAAATACATCCAACTGACTTTGTAGTTTCCCCAAACTCCTAATAACTGATTTTCAAAAGAAACATTTGTCCTCATGATATATTCATTTTGCTTTTAAAATTTTTATCTATCTTATAGTATGACAATTTCTCTGAACATAAATTGTAGTATGATAATATTTGGGGTTGTTTCTCCAGACTTGAGATAATAAAGTTGCCTATTTTTTCTTGACTATGTTTTTATTGTTTAGACTAGGATGTTCTCATTTAGCCCGTTGTCTGCCAGGCCAAATAATAGAGTCATTTATCTCACTGATCTTCAGTGGATTTCAAAGAAATTTTAAATCCCTTTCATCAAGTAATAATTTTGTTTGGATATTCTTTTACTAAATGGAAACTGAAAGAAAATTAAAATTATGGGAAATTTATGACATATTACTACATGTAATTTGTGGTTTTTATAGATCAATGCTGACAATACTGATAATAAATGGGTACATTGCTAGACTATCATTTAAAATTTTATGTTTTAATAAATATTAAATATGTAAACAATTTAATACACTTGTGGAGAAACAGATTACAATACATATTTGAATTTTGTCTAACTTTTAAAAACGTTTTGGTGATTTTTTTATGAAAGTTGTTTAATGTTCAGTTTTCCTTTTTGTTATCTTGAAAAGCCATGTAACAAAAACAAATCTTTTGTCTTCGGACAAATGTTAGGCTTGTCAGTGATTATACAAAGCACCCACTCAAGGTGACATTTTTTTTTTCCCTAGACACAAACTCTCTCTCTCTCTGAGGTAAAGTCTTTATTATTTCTAAATGCCTGCCAGCCCAGAAGGCATTATAAAGGTGATGATTAATTCCCTACAGAATGGTGAGAAATTGCAAAAGAGAGAGATGGTCTTTGTACTGATCTCCAGTTATTGGGACTGAGGTTGTCTTTCCTGTCAGGGAAATCTGACTACCTGAACTACACTGACCGAGGGCAGCATCCCCAGCAATGTCTTTTGATGATAACTGTTCTCAGCTGTAGTTAAGTTTGTTACTTTCTGCCTTTATAATCTTTGTTTCTTGTGTCCAGTTTAAGAGAGCATATTCTTTGACATTATAAAGAAATTTCCTATATTCTAAAACTTTTATAGTTTTGTGTTTAAATTTTAGTTTATCAAGTCAGAATTCAGAAATAAAGCATGCATATGTAAATTTTAGTATTATAATAGTTTGTCAAATTCTACAAAATGAACTTCTAGGGATTTTTAATTGCAATTATTTTAAACCTGTGGAACCATCAGGTATATCTTTTTTATTTGGATCTTAAAGATGCATCTCAATAAAATTTATATTTCTCTCTTTACAGCTCTTGGATTTCTTTTGTTAGAATTAGTCCTAAAAGAGTGCTTTGAATTTTTGCTACTTTTAATTTTTGACATTTCTCATTTTGAAAACATTTAGGTATAATTTTAAAAAGTTTGTTTTTTAAGAGTTGGAGAATATAAATACAATTGTTTTTTAAATTTTTGTCCAATAAATTGGTAAGCTCCTTAGCTAATTATCTGCAGATTTTTTATTATTTTATGTAGGTAATCAATATTTGCAAGTCAGACAGTTTTTTTCCCCCTTCTTATACACCCTTATGTTACTACTGGGATCTTAATTCTTTTTTCTTTTTTCATTGGTCTTAACTGTTGTTTGGTTCTCCAATACAATTTGTGATACTGGGTATTCCTGCATTGATTCCAGTTTTAAAACGAGTGCTTCCAGTATTTCATCATTATGTGTTATACATGTTGTAGGTTTCATCAAGTTAAGGACATTCCTATTAGTAGATTTCTATTTTTCAAAAAATTTAATAGACTTTTAAAGAGAAGTTTTAGATTCACAGAAATATAAGAAAACAGGTCCCCCCACCCCATGTACCCTGTGCTTCTACACATGAATACTCTTTGCCATAATCAATATCCCCCACCAGAATGGTACATTTGTTACAACTGATGGATTATATGACAGATTATTGTCACCCAAAGACCATGGTTCACATTAAAGTTTACTCTTGATGTACATCTTGTGAGTTTGGATAAATGTACAATGGCATGTTATGCACCATGCTAGTATCATACAGAACAGTTGCACGGCCTTAGAAATTCGCCATCTTTGCCTATCATTCCTTTCTGCTAACAACTGATCTTTTCACTGTCTCCATAGTTTACTTTTTCTGGAATGTTGTGTATTTGGAATCATAGGGTATATAGCATTTTCAGGCTGGATTCTTTTACTTGGTGCTTAATGTTCCTCCAAGTAATTTCATGCCTTGTAGCTCATCTCTTTTTAGCACTGAATAGTATTCCATTGTCTGGATGTGCCACAGTTGATCCATTCACCTACTGAAGGAACATCTTTCTTTTTTTTTCAAATTGAAGTTATGTTAGTTTACAGCACTTTATGTGTTATAGAACAATAGGATAACATACCTCACTCCACAACTAAATCACCAATATCCCACCACGATAATCCATGGTGATCCCTCCCCATCTGTTCTCATCTTTCCCATTCTGGTTCCATTAATTTTTGGACTGTCTTTTTTATTTCTATTTCATTAATTTCTCTTCTAATCTTTATTATTTCTTCTGTTGACTTTTTGTTTTGTTGTTCTTTTTCTAATTTCTTGAGGAGAGATAAGGTTATTTATTTGAGCTCTTTCTTGTTTCTTGATTTTGGCCTGTGCTGCTCTATACACACTTCTTAGTATTGCTTTTTCTATGTCCTTTAAGTTCTGGAATGTTGTGTCCTTGACTTGAGGTATTGTTTGAATTTTCCTTTGAATTGCTCATTAACTCACTAGTCATTCAGTAGTGTGCTGTCAGTCATCACATATGAGAGGTTTTTCTGTTTTCTTTTCATGGCCCAAGAAGTTGCTTAGTATATCAATCTTCATGAATTTGTTGATATTGGTCTTGTGACCAACATGGACTCAATCTTAGAGAATGTGTATTTGAGAAGAATATGTATTTAGGTTTTTTGGTGTGTATTCCCCTATAAGTGTTCATTAAGCCCATTTAGTCATTTGTTTAAGGCTGTTGTGTTCTGACATATTTTCTGTTCAGTTGACGCATCCATTGTAAAAAGTAGAGTATTGACTTTTCTCTGCCTTGAATGTGGTTTTTCTTGAAGTCTGTTTTCAGATTTGATAGTAATTTGTATATATATTTTGATGCTCCTTCATTTGGCGAGTATACACTGATCGGAGTGATATGTCTTCCTGATGTATTATTCCCTTACTCATTACACAGTGTCTATCCATGTCTTTTCTTACCTTTTTAGCTGGAAATCTATTTTATCTAAGTGTGACTGTTCCTGCCTTCCTCTCTTTCCCATTTGATGCAGGATTGTTTTCCACCCTTCATTCTGAGCCTATGTTTATCTTTGGAACTCAGGATGTTTCCCGGAAACAACAGAAGGTTGGATTCTGTTTCCTCATCCATCCAAGTGCTCTGTGCCTTTTCATTGCTAGTTCAGTCTACTTACACTTAAGAGTAATTAGTGATATATGAAAGTCTGTTGTTGACTTTTGTCCTTTTTTTTGTGGTTCTGTTTTTTCCTTGTTCCGTTATTTGTGTATTTTCCTCTCTTTAATTCAGATTACTCTTTTAAACATTTCTTGGAGGAAGGGTCTAGTGTTTGCAAAATGCTTCAACTTCTGTTTGTCTGAGAAGGACTTCATTTCTTCCTTTATTTGAAGTCGAGCCTTGCATGATAGAATGTTCTTGACTGGCAGTTTTTATTTTTTAAGATTTTGATCACATCATTTTATTCTCTCCTTGCCCATAGTGTTTTGAAGGACACCTTTTCTTTCTTTCTTTTTTTTTTTCAGGGAAGACCATGAGCACAGCGGCCCACTACCACAAATTATGCAGTTGAGTTTCCCACTTTGGGGAAATCACATGGGTCTTACCTCTGGAGGTCAGTGATAAGCCTTGCCCTGGAAAACCGCCTTCATTCATTTCTCAACTAGCCACATTTTAACAGTCAGCCATATTTATCTAGTAGCTATCTTTTGGGTGATGTAGGTACATATAGACCACTTTTACCTTTGCGAAAAGCGTGATTGGAAAGCACTTCAGACAA